GAAGGAAGGAAGGAAGGAAGGAAGGAAGGAAGGAAGGAAGGAAGGAAGGAAGGAAGGAAGGAGGAAAAAAAACAGAAAAGAAATAAAAAAACTGAAGGAAAGGAAGGAAGGAAGGAAGGAAGGAAGGAAGGAAGGAAGGAAGGAAGGAAGGAAGGAAGGAAGGAAGGAAGGAAGGAAGGAAGGGGGAGAAAAAAAACAGAAAAGAAATAAAAAAAACTGAAGGAAAGGAAGGACAGGAAGTTGGGACTCAAAAATAAAACAATGAATCGGAAAAAAACTCAAAGTAAAAATAACTTCTTCTTTTTTCATATTTATTCAGACTTGGAAAAAAAAAAAAAACTAAATAGTGTTCAGTCTTTATTTAGGATGTGTAGGACCAGGGAACCATAGGCTGAGCTCTGAATAAATGGGCTCACCTTGAGCTGCTGCTGGAGCTCGCTGTTGAGGCGCCTTAAAACCGCGTTGGTTTCCCGATTCTTACGGATCGCCATCTGGATTTCTTTCTTCTGTCGGGACAGCAGCCTGACAGAGGATTATTTAAATTTATTAGCATTTTACTCCCAATTCCAGGTAAAAAAAAAAAAACACAGTAAGTAAAACAGAATTGATAGGACAGTTTCAGCTGTGTGGAAATGCAACAAACTGTTTAAAACATTGCAGACTAACAGCTCCACATCTGTCTGCAAGGAGTCAGAGCTGTTATTGATGGTCACCTTCTACTCAGCGACTGCCTCAGTGAGCCGTCTGGCCAGCGAGGAGACAGGGACCCACATGCTAAAGTCATTATGGTGGAACAGGGCCTTTTCTGTCAGATAAACTCTGGCTGGATTTCTGGATTATCCCATAAACAGAACAGAGTTTGGCTTTTTCAAATCCCTGAAAAAACTTCTAATCAGTTAATGAAGTAAAACATAGGAAGAAGTAAAATAAAATATGACCATTTTGTTATTCCTAGACAGCAAAATTGTTTCTACCTCAATGTCTGCCAGAAATCCTTGATTCCCTGCAGTGACAAAGAGCGGCTGATCAAAATCTAAATCAGAAACCGTCTCTGGTGTGACGTCTAATACCAACGGATTCATTTTAACCAGCGTTCATAACCTGCGGGTTATTAAAACCAAAGATCTGTGGTCATAATTGGAGCAACATTCATGCTGCGTCTGGTAACTTTCACTGCAGCAGAATTATCTCTGCATGAAGAATTTGGAAATTTCCTGCAGGGTTTAGGTCTGCAGAAGGTTTATCCATTTCTGTTTTGATTTGGTTTGCTATGTATCATTAGTCTGCTAAAAGTGCCAATAATGAGCTGTTTTTCTGTTTAACTCAGGGTTTGATTTACACGGTCCTGGATTTGTATTTTTTAAATGAAAGCAGTCACCATAAAGTGCCTTTTCACATTGTTTTAAACCAGAACTACACAGTTCCATCTCAGAAGTATTTAAGGGAACTATACATATCTACTTTTTTGATGACGGGGAAAGAAAAAAGAAAAAGAAAGGATTTCCATTAAAGGATTTTAGTGAAAATCCTCTAATAAACAAAAATCCTGAATCAGGTTTGTTAAAAGTTGGTTTAACCAGTCTAATTCTCACCCTGACTGTAGATATTGATACATTAGAGGAGTAGCTGTTCGCTTGAAGCCAAGATCTGTCTGTTTATGAGCGACTAAGCGGAAAAGGTCTCCCTGTTATGTCATATTTACATCAGAGGAAGTCAAAGTCTCAGTTAGTTCCCATGGACTTTTTACTCTGACCTGAGATAATCATTAGGGATGCCAATAAGCATCAATTCATATGTTATGTGTTGAAAGAGTAAGTTATGATATCAAAGTAATTGTTTTAAGGCTTTACTTTTACAAAAATTGAATTTACATTTTTAACAATTTAGGCCAAATGAGGTTTCTCCCACTTGGTATTTGCTGTTTTTCACCACTAGATGGCAGTGTTGCAAACTTGCTCACCAACATGTCAGGACATAGACAGGACATACCTTTATTGATATATTTAATGAACTTGGAAACTTTAATTTTTTTTTAAAATAATATTTCATTTTTGTCACATTAGATACTAGGGATATTTTTTCTGTCTGTTTCTTTTAAATTTTACACTCTAAAGCTGAGTTTGGTTCAGTTTTCTGTAAATGGCTGATTTGTTTCTGTAGGTTTTGGAAAAGGTGTAAAAAGGACATTTAGATAAGGGCATCACACAGCTACTGCAGAATTGGAGCCATTTCTCAGGCATTGAATTGTCTGTATTGGTATAAAAAGGAAAACCTGCTCAGGTACAAGAGGCCTTAAATGTAATTTTGCCTTTGATAGAACATTTTCTTAGCAATGATACCCACAGGATTAAATACAGTGCCTTGCAAAACCATTTATATCCCCTTGAGCTGTGAGATGTCAGAAAAATATTGTATTGTCATATTATTAAATAGTGGCATGACAATATAGAATAAAACAAGCCTCATTTTTTGGTTACATTTTCTGTTTCTAACCAGTAAACAATAACTTCAACATCTCAGCCACTAAAATACGCATCAGGTGCAAGTATGAATAAAAGCAAGGTACTACCAAGTGAAGCAATGAATTGTATAACGGTCTGATATTTTTTAGATCTCCTATCAAATAATGCATGGACGAAAGTGGGGGGGACACAAATATTTTTTAATCTAACTTTTTTCAGCGTGTTTGACTGTCCAATCACAGACCGGATTCAGTGAGACATCAGATGCTTTTAAAGAGAGCTTCTAAGAAGTGACAGCCAATCACACAAGAAAAGACCAATTTTGGGCCAATCAGGAGCTCAAGCTTGAGCTGCGGTTTTTCGCTTGGTCCTAGTGCTTGAATGTCTGTGTACTGTAATAGAGACTGACATTTTTTCGGGAATCCCATGGGTCACGGGATTCCCGTGGAATTCCCATGGGATGGGAGTCAGTAATAGTAACGATCACGTGATTGGGACGGTACAGGATTAAACATTAACGGGAGCAGACGGGAGCGGGAGCAAACCAATAATAACAAAAAAAAAAACTAGGAATGATGCCAAAAAATAAAATAAAATAGAAAGAAAAAAAATCCAGTACTGGCGCTGCCATTTTGTCGTTTTTTTCCTTGAAGCCTACACTATAATGCGAGTCAAAAAAACTACACGACCCAAAAACCAACAGTGTTTTTCACCCGTGCTCAAAAAAAAAACAAAACAAGAATGGGAGTGGTGCAGGAGCGGGAGTCATTCTGAATGGGAGCGGGATGGGAGTGGGAGTAATTTCACCAGGAGTGGGACGGGACAGGATTTAGATTTCTACTCTGGCCCGGGATCGGGACGGGACACAATTTTTTTCTGTGGGAGTGGGACGGGACAGAAGTGAAAATCCACTCCCGTGTCAGTCTCTATACTGTAGTGCAACATTGTTTTTGGACAGTGAAACATGCAGTGGACCAAAATGGACGTGCAGGGGACATGTCCACCCCGTCCCTGATCATGTTCCTCCCTTCCTACCCAAAATTACGTCACGTTAATTTTGCACAAATTTTTCAATTTGCTATAATAAGATACCCTAAAAACTAAACCTTTGGGAAAATTTGTCTAATAGAAACTAAAACTTGATTGTAGTAGAAGAATTTTATGTGACATACAACACAAAATGTACCAATAAAAGGCTGAAAAGATTTCATCTGACTGCATTGAAACCCTTAACAGAGACCCAACACCGTGGATCAATCTTCATGGAGGAGTGCTGAGCAAAGGGCCAATGACTACAGTGTGTGAGATGCACTGTGGGGAAATCCCAGCGTAGAACCAACATTTTAAATGTTTGCCTACATTCAAAATGTTATAAGAGAAGGAAAACAAATAAATCGCTGATAATTCAGGGTGAACCATTGCTGTAGACAGCTGCCCATGGTGGGGGCCTGTTTTGTTTCAGGGTGCAGAGATCCTGCCATCTGACAGCCAGAAACCAAAACCACAAACATGACCCAACCAGGCTCACGTGAAACTTTTTGTAGTCAAAGTTCAGATGTAAACAATGGAGACCCAGAAGGAGGAAATACTCCAGATGACTTTTAAGTTATTTTGGTTCAAAGAATTAAAAACTGGTGTCAATTCCTTTTTCATCCGCAGCTCAGCATTGGTCCAACCTTTTGAAACTATAATAACTTTCATTGAATCTGTGCTTCAAACATCTGACAGTGTAGAAAAGTCCAAAGGTAATGAATGCGTTTCTAGGGCAAAGCTTTAGCTGCTGCATCTCAGAGCCAACATCAGCATGATTAAAGGGTAAAAGTGTCAGAGTTTGAATAATTCACTGACTTTTGGTTGGGTTTGGCAGGCGGAGGAAACGGCATGGCAGGAGGAGTCGTTCCAGTCTCCAGGTTCTGGCTCTCTGGGTGGTATTTCCTTCGAATTGGCTTCTGCGGCGCTTGACTTTGAGGAGTGCCAGAGGCGTCCTGAAAAGTCACCAGAAACAGAAATCGTCTCCATTTAACTGAAACACAGACGTAGACTAAATGCAGAGACTGGTGCTCCTTTTTCCAAGCGTGGTCTTGTTAGAAGCTCTGACCTGTTTGGAAGAACTTGTCAGGTCTTCAGAACTCAGCCCAAACCTGGAGCTGGGACCCTGCTCTTCCAGTTTAACGTTGCTCTCCTCCTGTAACCCAAACAAAGAAGCGAAAAGCAATGATGGAGGAGCTCTTCCTGCAGGAGTGGAGTGTTGATGTCATGATGGGGTGAAATAACAGCAGAGAGCAGCTATAAAGAGGCAGGATGAAATGCATCTGCTCCAACCTATGATAAATCAGAACCTTTCCTGCAGGGCCTGTGATGTAGTGCTCCCCAGGAGCAGCTTCTAGCCTGTTCTAGGGGCAGCCATGATGGATTAACTTACTTTTACTACACCTACTTTTCATGGCATTTCAGCCGCTCTCTTGCAGTCGCAACGTTTGATTTATTGCCACCTGCTTTTGCTCAGCAGAGGTTAATAGTGCAAAAGTGTGAGGAAAATCCTCATGCATCGTACTTCTTAATTTCTTTATTTTTCAAGGATTAGTTTTGCTGAAACTGGAAGGATTTATAACGACTCAGGAAGCTTTATTAAAACGGCGATGCAGTGAAATGTACTCACTGATCCTAAAAGCTTAAACAGACTCTGCTCCTAATTGTACCCAAGAAACCTCAAGAAACATTTAGCCGAGAATGCATTTGTCTTTTAGACAAACGCTCCTTCTACTGACTGCATGTGGGGCAAAACCGCAGCATGGAAACCTTTCAATGCCGGGGAGTAGTTTGTGTAGTTGTAATGAAGCCTTATTGGCCCCAGGGGCAGCGTGTGTGGTCACATCAGCTGAAGGTCGTGGCCCCTTGATGCGCCATTGCTGTCACTTTCTGAGGAGCAGCTTTTTAAACGCATCCAAGGTTAACTGGACTAATCAGGTGCAAAAAGCAGTAAGGAGATCATCAAAACAAGGAACAAAGATTTAATTTAGCTTTCAGGTTGACCCAAAGCAGACTCCTCCCCCTTCAGGATGACACAGAGGTGCTTCACACATCTTCAACCATTTCCTCATTTTATCACATTACAACCTAAAACCGTTTTATAGGGATATTGTTTCATATAGCGATATAAAACTGTGATGGACTGGCGACCTGTCGCCCGTAGACAGCTGGAGATAGGCCCAGGACCCCTTGCAACCCCGCTTTGGATAAGCGTGATGGAAAATGGATGGATTACGATACAAAAAGAAGGACATACCGGTAATTGTAAAGAGCAAGAAAAGTTTCAGCTTAAAAAAAGGCTGCAAAGTTATCAATTTCCCCTATTTGAAGGTTTCTGTTCAACATGATGATACCAAACCATTTGAGTCAGGTGTTTTTAAGTGGACACAGTTGCAGGAAATAGCTCTCAACTGCTGAGTGGAAGAGATAATGTAATATATTGGTCTAGTTAAAGTTCAAACCTACATGGGAATCAGACATTATATGTTCTGGGTTGGATGGATTCAACTGAATGCTATTATTTTAGGATTTTGTTTTGTGCAAAATGTTGAAAAACATGCATCATTTCTTTTCCACTTTAAAATAACTTTGTGTTGGTCTATCAGATTTAAGCCAACTTAAAATGTTTGGGAAAATATTCAGAGGCATAAATACAGCAGTGAGAATATGGGGTTCAAAAACTCACATCAATTACCCATTAGAGAGAATGTCCCTTTGTGGACGAGAGGAAACTACAAACTGTGAGGATAAATCACAAGATCCACTACAAAGAAAGGCTTTAAAGAAATAATGAACAATTAAGACTCTGAATATTAAACTGGAGTTTAAAAAAAGTCAGGGGGAGGAAAATAGAAAAAGAGAAATATTTATATATTGCACAATATCATTGCGTTTATGATGGATTAACTGATTTAACTGTCTGTTTGCATATTTCTTACATTCAGGAGGACATTCCTTCCTTCCAGCACCTATATGTCGCTCATGTACTGAACATTCCTCTGAGGTTTCCAGGGCAGGTTATCTTACAGAGTGAAATATACGTATAAACACAGCATATAGATATCTGAGGGATAATCTGCTGTGGATGGTTTTTATGAAGTCAAACATCAGATGAAGCCCTCTCTAGGGGAACTACAGAAAGTCAGCATTAAATTAAACAAACTGGGGAGGGGGGGGATCCACAAAACCGCAGACTGTATGATTTATAATGGGAAAGATCTGTAGTATGATGGGAAACAGAGTCTATGAGATAAATAGATGAGGCTATGCTCAATGTTTGACCTGAGGGGAAATCTGTTTTATTCATTTCTACACACTGAAGAAATGTATGAATTCGGTTCTGATGATGTCAGGAGGCATGCATCTCAGGTGAGTGAAGTATAACTGAGGGATTGCACTGTTTGGCTGTCTCCTGCTGATTTGTGTGATGGAGGACAGAGTGGAAATCTGATTTCATTTGACTTTAGATTTCTCTTAAAATAAGACAAATAATGAAAACCGTCTATGTCCACGTCAGATTTTAGATGCTCACCTGTATAGAAATGTGAGTTTAGTCTAGAAGCATGTAGTGGTTTCAATATAGTTTTGGGGAGCAGATAGAATAGTGAATATTTAGGCGATCATATGGAGGCGACCAGTCTGAGTCAGAGACCCTGGAAGCTAAAATACTGATTTTCACGACAAAAGACATTAGCTAAAAAAGGCACATGTGCTTCTCTGTGCAGATAAGCTGCTTCTGCTCAACTTTGAGCTGAAATCATCGCAATCTCCCTAATCACCCCTCCTGGATCGAGGAAAACGGGCATTTGCAAGGTCAAAGTCGGTGCTTTCAGAATGGAGAGACACGTAAATCAGGCGAAATATTACTTTTTGCACAATTTTTTTTATGTTTGACAAAGGAATACCATTATAAAATTATTAATCAAAAAAGCCCATTTTGCATGATATAAGCCCTTCAGTGTTGATTTCTTTGATCAGATTGAAAAGGTAAAATTAATTTTGCTGCTTCGTTACAAATAGATTATGGTTTCCACCTAACTCGTAAGAGCATACATCCCTATTGCTAGGGCACCTTTATCTCAAGCACATTTCCTTCCACTCAACTTTCCTTTAATAAGCTTCAATAAAGCAGTCTGGTAATCCTCTGCTGGAAAATGTTGCCCTTCGACAATAACTTTGCTTACAAATTTTTTTTTTTATTGCTAGTTTCTTCTGCAGGATCAGGTTCTGGTTGCAGCATTTAGGGAAAAAGCTGCTAGGAAATGCATTGTGTTGAAAATGAGGTGAAAACTCACCTCTTCTCTGAAGTGACTGAAGTCAGCAAAGTTTGGCTGCTGCACTTTACTCTGGGAAGTTTGCTCCGAAACGTTGACAAAATGAGGAACCTGAAAAGAAAGATGTAATGTTCTGGTTTAAAATGATCCTCCCTTATTTCTTTTTTTCATTGCATAAAGAGGCTTAGCATTGAGGGACTCACCTGTGAGGTTAAGGGTCTGGGAGGGAGAGCAGGAGGAGGAAGCAACCATCCACTTTTCACCGCTAAAACCCAAGAAAAGCAGGTTTTCAATCAAAGCGTTTGCTCTCAGTAGTGAGGTGTTGCTCTTTAAAAAGACTAAAGTCAAATCTGTGTTTCATATTCAGAACCTGACTTCCACTTTTGTGAGCAATAATGCCTTATTTCTGCTTTTCCCTCTTTGAAAAGAGAACTATGAACAAAACCTGATCAGTCAGAATGCTGTGGGAGGAGCGGCAGCTGATCGTACCTGGAGCGCCTTGCTGGAAGAGCCTGTTGAGGTCCAGGGAGGAGGCCCTGGAGTGGGTTTTCTGAGGGCGAGGCGGGGGGGTGGGCGGTTCCTCCGCCTTCTTTACAGCATCGTCAATGGAAGTGCTGGAGTATGACCTGAAGGGGAGGTCACAGGTCAACAAATTCAGGCTTGGATAAGAACTAAAACACAGCTGTAGAATTAAACAATTAAACAGTCTTGATTTCCGCACCAAACTTAATTAACACTGATAAAGAATTCTAAGATTTAAGCTAGACATTAGGGCCTCGTGCAAGAACCGTTAGTACGCACTAATTCGTTCTGAAATCTTTAGTACGTGTGATTTAGGAGAAAATGTCACGTTCACCATTTTTCTTCTAATCCTCTCTCAGGTACGAACACATTTTAGATGCTCCAGAGCTACGATTGTTGCTCAATCCATCAGTCAGCTGTTATCCAAGTCTAGCTACATTTGTTTAACTTGTGATTGTCTATTCTATTAGGCTACATTATTATATATTATGCACTAAAATATTAGTTTATCAGTCAGCACTTGCAGCTGGCATGTCAGTATCCAGGGGAAACTGGTTTATTTGTTATTTCATCAGAAGAAAGAACAGTCAGAGATCAATCTCTTATTGAAATAACATGAACAGAAATGGATGGAAAGTTCAGCAAAGCTCTTCTAACACTAAATGTGGAATATTTGGGTTTCTGACTTTGTTAAATTAGAGTTTTACATTAACATTTTATACATGTTTATGCGTTGTGAGAGAGATGGAGAGTAGATGAATGGAAGGCAGAGATGGACTGGAGATGTACGGTAAACATGCATCTTTTTATTAAATGGAGATTTAGCATAACGTTGTGTCGTGTTGGTTGATGTTTAACTCATTAAGCGTTTATATCATATATTGCACCTTTTTGCTTAACCAGAAGTTTTTATTGTTTGCTTTTGGATCAAATGATTTTTCTTTTAATATTATATCTATTCTTTTATTTTATTTTTACTTCTGTAACACATAATTTACAACACTTGTTATTTATTTATCCCTTCTTGGCTTTTTGATGGACCTTGAATTCTTTTTTTAATTTATTTTTTTAAATTGTCCTTTAATTCTGCTGCTCAGTTATCAGTCAGCAGAATCTCAGTCTGCAAACCTTTAAAGTTTTTCTCCTTTTTCTTCGATGCCATTTCAATGAATGAACAGTTTATGATGATCATTTACGATGATTTAATGAAGTGAAGACTGATGTGTCGTGTTCATAAAAGCCCACATTAGAGAAAAATACGACAATACAAAAATGTTGCATGAGGCCCAATGTTTACCTCAGACTTGCCTCGACTTCTGCTTCCAATCAGTTGAACTGTGTTTTTAAATCCACCTATCATGTCCCTTCTAGCTCCACATAATTTATGTGAGTAAATATTGAATTTATGGTTGAAAAATGAATAAAACTGTGAAAATGTTGAAGGCGTATGAATGATTTAGCGAGTCAAAGCGGAGTTGGACGCATTTTTACCTTTGTCTTGTTTTTGTCCTCATCTGCGGGTCTAAATCCTGATGTGGCTCTGGGAGGAAAGGTGACAAGGAACAAAAAAAGACGTTCAGTTTAGGTGGCTGTTAATGAGAAGCAGTTATTTCCTTTTGGCTACAAGTGTTTACTGAGTTCAGGTCGATCCGCTAACAAAATCACCTCTAAAAATCACCACCAAAAGAAGATGAATCGACAAAAATCGGAGAAAAAAATGGTTAAATCAGGAAGACTGTTGGTCCAGTCGAACCTATGAGAGTAGTCGGTTCTTTATGTTACACAGTGAGTCGGTCTGCATGCTTAAACATCCAACATGTGGAGACCAGGAGGAGAAAGAGCTCTACCCTCGTGTTAAAGGCCTGTCATTATTACCTGCTCTGTCAGGAAAAGCTCCCAGCTGGAGATTGGGTTTCTGTCGAGATGAGACCAAACGTTTCCCACTCGTATCTACAGGCAACAGAGAGACAAACCAACCTTAATCAGTCCTAACAGGACGTAGCGGTACGTTCTACGACCTTTTATCATCAACACTGTGGAATAATTTTCACTCATTGGAGCAGATAAAAAAAAAAATGTAAACAGTTTTTCAAAGATCTCGTTTTGTTGTGTTGTCTTTGTCCAGTGTAGAGGTGAGTATTGGCATGAGTGTCGCGATACATGGGTCACGATACAATATTATCACGATATTGCAGTATCACTATATTTCGCCATATTTTCCCCAGCTATCAAAGTCAAATGATGAGATAAAACAGCAAGTGCTGTATATTTTCATCAGAAAATATTGATTAGGTATTATTATCCATGTTGTTTGGGATTTTCTTCCACTGTGACTGCCTCAAATACAAAAAGGGCTCCACAGCGCTTTCTGCCAGAGTGGTGGTGCAGAGGTAGCCCATTTTCCCATCAATGTTTTATGTAACCATTTTTTTTTTTTTGAAAATCAATACTAAGAAGTGAAAGATCGATATTATATTGGGCAGCCGAATATCACGATATATCGCCAAAACGATTATTCCCCACACCCCTAGTCCAGTGTTGTCAGAAAATTCAATTTCCTTTCAATTCCCCTTTACATATATATTGATTTATGAGTGCCGATTTAGCATTTAACTACTTTGGAAAAGTTTTCACTCATTGCTTTTATCTCCCTAATATAACTGGATTGCATAGTTGAATGAACCAGCCACTGGCAGGTCCGTTTGGACTCAGCTGATGGTCCATGCAGTGCAGGGGCTGGTTCTTCCATGATGATTCCTGTTCTTGCTACTCTTCTTTCTCGTGATGAATATTCAAGCATCTCTCTAGTTTTTATGGTTCCTGGATTGTTTCTGCACATTTTAACCAATGCCCTTTTTTAACCTGGACTCCTCTCGCATGTTAGAGAAGGACAACGTTTAAACAAGAAAATTGACAAGCAAGAAAATTGATTGACCCCACATGCAGCGTCCAAGCATGATGTTGCTCATAGTGTCCCTAATCTTAAAAAAATAACTGTTTAGGATAATTATTTCAGTCAGTTATTCACCTAAACCAGGGGTCTACAACCTGTAGCTCCAAAGCCACATGTGGCTCTTTGGACCCTCTACATTGGCTTCAGTGGCTAAAACAGGGTTTATACAGAAATGAATAACTCAAATTTAATGCTTTTTTTTTTTTTTCCAACTCTTTATTTAGTCTTTTTCATAATACAAAAACAAAAGAAAAAACAAGAAGAAAAAACAAAAAACAAGCTGGGGGGAGCATCCATTACCATATTTACCAAAGTTTTTTTTTTTTTCCCTCTTATGGTTGGGTTTTGGCCTTGAACATTGACCACTTCTGCCATTTTTTCTCAAAGTCACCTTCTTTAAGGCTCAGACGAAAAGTCAAATTTTCCATGGTGTATAGTTCATCTACAATATTCAGCCATTGTCCACGCCCAGGAGGGTCACGTTTCAACCAATTCCTTGTCAATGCCTTTTTGGCAGCAATCAGTAATATTTTGCAGAGGTAAATGTCTTTTTTCCCAATGACTTTATATGGCATAAGTCCTAGGTATACAAAGCTCGGATCTCGGGGTATAGATAAGCATAAAATTTCCTCTACTGTCTGAATGACACTGTTCCAGAATAACTGCAGTTTAATGCATGACCAAAAGATATGGGAGTGATTGGGATCTACATGTCCACACCCTCTCCAGCATTTCTGTTGTTGACTAAGTTGTTTTGATTTTATATA